GTAGAGACATGGCGGGTACTTAAAGCCCCTGATCCCCTTGTATCTCAAAGAGCTGAGCTAAGAGCTGGAATTGCCTTGGGTAGACAGAGCTCACCAGGGGAGCCAGTTGTGCAGCCCGGGAATAGCCGATGGGCCAGCCCAGCGGCAGTCTGGGTAACTGAGAGGCAGCAGAGCAAAGGAGCAGCTGGATTCAGCCTTATCCCACAGGGTCTGGTGCGGGAGGAGCCATGGGAGAGCCGTTGCACGTACTACAGCGGGAGCAGAGGAACTCACAGCAGCCGAGCGACTGGTGAAGCCTCCCTGTCCTAGCTGCTGCAACCACTATCACAGGGCAGGGGGTAGAGCCCCGGAGCTGCCAACAGACCAGAGACCCTGACTTTCCTGATCTCCTGGAACCCCAAACTGTGGACAAGGAAGTTGGGGAGACATGAGGGGAGGGGAGGGTAGGGGGCAGAACAAACTGTGTTCAGGGTCCCATTTGTTTGGGACTGTGACTGATGCAGCCTGAGGTACACAGCGGTGGAAGGCCTTAAACCGTAAATATACGTCCCCAGTTCGACCCGGCCCTTCCCTTTTCTCTCCTGCCCCCAGCAAAGTTCATCCCTTCAAACCTCAGCGCTGGCAAGTGGGTGCAGACTTGCCTGGCAAAGGCGCCCAGAGTGGCTACAGCTTCCCAGACGAGAGTGAGAACAATCGACACCTTCCCGCCCGGCCCAGCCCCGCATTTACAGGCAGGACCAGCCGCAGGCCTGCGCATGGACAAAGGAAAAAGCACCCAGGGAAAGACTCTGAGTCAGGACCCTTGGGGCTCAGCTGAAGTGAATGCCCTGGACCTGAGCAGTCTGAGCCTGTATAAGAGAAGAAAAAGGGGCCCAAGATGGGATCTGTCATGGTCGGAGGTGATGCTCTGCCCGTGGGAGGGTGTCATGGGAGGTGGGTACCAGCCCTCTGCCCTGGCCAGCCACTGCACGGACTGGCCGCGGGCGGCGGGATCCCTTATTAGACAGGAAAGGAGCTGGGTAATACAGGCAGGCTCAGGATTGCAGTTTATGTTTGTCGGTACCCTGGTGTTCCCAGCCCTTCTCTTGGACTCTTTTGCATCTCTGTCTCCAGCTCTGTGAAATAAACCTCCGTTTGGTTTTACCGTGGCCACATCTAAGTGCTGGGTGTGAAGGAGAGCGTGGAACTGAGGCAACGCCCATCACCTGTGGGGGGCGCCGCTGGGAGTCAGCGGATCAGGGGGCACTGCAGGTGTCCAGAGAATGAGAGATGGGGCACGTTAGTGCAGCAGAGACGGGTGTGTGGCAGGGGAAAGCGCAGGGCTTGGGGAGCCCAGAGCGGAGAGTAAGTGCTGTCAGTATCTGGGAGTTAACGGTGAATTTCCCCCAACTGGCCCCAGGCTCGTCTCTCCCACACTGTGAGCAGGGGATAGTGGTTCACCCTGGACACCTTGGGTAAACTCACAGTGTCACAGGCAGATCCCACCTCTCCGAGTGATGGGCTCAGGCTCTCTGCAGACTCAGGCAGTGACGCTGTGTCAGTTACACTGGGTGCAGTTCACACCTCTCTGAGCTGTGGTTTCGGGCTCTCTGCAGACACAGGCAGACATTGCTGCTCTGATTTCCTTAAAAGGGGAAGAAGGAGCAGGATATTGGTCAAGTGACCAGTGAACTGGAGCAGTTTCATACCCAATGGCAGGGAAAAGCCCGAAAAAGGAAATGCTCCTGGAGCCCTCTACAGCTGTCAGCTTCAGAACAACCTCTCGTGACAGCAGCCTGCTCACTGAGAAAACGGCCGTGTGACTCTGCAGCTGTCACCCAGCCACTGCACGCCAGCATCCGTTCAGTGCTGGTTGTACGTCCCCTGAGAAGCATTGCAACAGGGCAGGGCTTTTTGAGGGCTTTGCTTGCTCTCTTCTTTTGCAGCCAGTATGAATTCTGCTAACCCGCTTGTTTCTCGGAAAAAGCAGTTTCCACACTGCTTTCGGTTTCCACCTGCGGGAGACAGGAAACAGACCCGGTGGAAGGTGGAGGGTGTCACAGCTAGGTACTGATAAACATCTAAACCTGACAGCTCTCACCGATGGCTCTGCAGCTCTTCCTAGCATGATCGCTGCCCTCTGGCCTCGAAGCCTGGGATCCACAGCGAAGACATTGGGATGTTGAGAAGTGAGATGCCCTTAGCATAGAATCATAGAATCATAGAATATAAGGGTTGGAAGGGACCCCAGAAGGTCATCTAGTCCAACCCCCTGCTCGAAGCAGGACCAATTCCCAGTTAAAGCAGGGATCAGAGTTAGCACCACGTTCTGGATTGGGGCCAGCTTGCTCCCCTCTCAGAGCTGATGGGCCAGGCTCTCTGCAAACCCAGGGGAGTTTAAGGAGTGGTCCAGCCTGCATTGAAAGCACATTAAACACAGGCAGACACGATTCCCTGGCGTCGCCCTGGGGTAACAGTCCCATGCAGAGCGAGCCAGGGAGCTCAGTGTGGGGCATCCGGACCGGCGGCAGATGAAGCCAGGATGAGCTGTTAGCCCTTCCCTGCCCAGACGTCATTGCCAGTGTGTCCCTAAGGAGCGCCAGGTCGGCAGAGCTGCTCTGAGAACCCCACTCTGGGCAGGGACCCTTCATTCCTCGGCTCCCCCCACGGGCCCTTTGGCCGGGTCTGGTGGAAACGCATGTGCTTTAATGGGCACTGGAAGTGCTGGAGTTGTGATTCCCCTGGACCTAAACAGTTTGGCCAGAGCCCTAGCGGAGAGAAAGCTCCTCGTCAGCTCGACACCTTCAGGGAGTCACCACTACTTCTCCCTCCGGAGACCACACCCCAGCAGCTGCCTCTTCTCAGAAATGTGGGATTTCTGGAACTGAAACAAAAACCCTCAGCAAATATTCAACTCTCCCAGAGCTGGGTAACAGTCACCCAGCTCCCGGGGCGGAGATGCAGCCACTTCTGGGGCAGGGCAGGTGGGGTGCAGCCATGCATAATGTTGCACAGGGATGGCTCACCCAGCACTGAGTGCAGCCACCTCTGGGTTAGAGCAGCTGGGGAACAGCCGCACATAACACCACACCGTGAGGGCTCACAACTGTGAAAATTTAAATCAGTAAAAACTGAGGGAAAATATGCTTCAAAATCCATCAGAATGATAAGACAAGTAAAAATTGGATTCTGCCAAACTGTGCCAGGCCTTGCCACGGCGGCTTTTCCCAACAGACACGTGCCGGGACGTCGACTCGTCGTTCCAACGGTCACTGTTTTCTGATACGTTCGGGAGGCAAATGTCACAGTCTGGAAAAATCCCGGTTTCCAGTCCAGAAACCGCTGGGATGGGAAATTTCTGCCCCGCCCCTCACTGGCTGTTTTGCAGCTTGTCCGAGCTTGGAGCAGGTGCAAGGTGAGGGCAGGTGCAAGGTGCTGTGAGTAGCGCCTTGTTTGGGGGTCTCCAGTGGGTGGTTCCAGCTGTGTAAGGAGTTCTGGGGGTGTCACCAATTTTCCCTTCCCCAGGTCAACCCCCGATACACCAGTGCTGAGGGGAGAGGCCCTGGGCAAGAGTCCAGGGAATGTGCCCAGGCTCGGCCCATGTGCCAAGTGTCAGGGGCTGTTGGCCCCTCACTGAAACTTAGTGGGGGTTTTGGCTGGCCCTGTCCCAAAAGATAGGGGAAGGACTGAAAAAAAACTACCAATGGGGAGAGGCCAAAGCTCCCACTCAGCCTGATTGACAGGGCAGGCGGGCCAATGAGGGAGTCAGGAGCCCAGAGGCCTGTTCTCTGTGTGAGCTGGAGCTGCCTGAGCCAGAAGAGGGCAGAGTTAAGGGGAAAGCAGCAGCCTGAGCTGGGCTGGAGACTGAGCTGCGGCCGTGCAGAGCCGGGAGCTGGGACAGCGGAGACCAGGGATACAGGGTCGACCTGCAGGAGGAGCCGTGGGGCCAGAGTCGGGATACCGGATGCTGGCCGTGCCCCATGTAACACTGCAGCTGAGCCTGGGGGGTGGCTGGGGAGAATGGGGGTGGAGGGGCTGGGCAGGGAGATGTTGCCTGATGAGAGACCTCGATGGCCATACTCGGAGGACATGACCCCACTGGGAGGGCCAATGCTGGGGAGAAGGGTCCTCCCACCTAGAGCCTGAGGGCATAGGCGCCAAGTTTCTAATCTGCCAGGGGGTTCTCCCCCCGGCTCCACCCAGGTCACACCCCCACTCCTCCCCTTCCCCCAATCTCCCACCCCTGCCCTGCTTCTTCCCTCCCCCCCTCCTCTGAGTGCGCTGGGCCCTCTCTCTTCCCCCCTCCCCCCGCACCTGCTAACACCACGAAACAGCTGATCCGTGGCAGGCGATAGGTGCTGGGAAGGGGGGAGAGGCCCATGGTGCTAAGCACCCACCATTTCCCCCCGTGTGGGTGCTCCAGCCCCAGAGCACCCACAGAGTCAGCGTAAGTGTCTGACCCATGATATCACTGCAGTGCAACCAGGGCCTGGGCAGGAGGCCTGGGACATGTGAGGAGCAGACTGTGAACTTTCCTTCCAGCCCCATAGATGGTTGTTTCTAGTCTCCCTGGGCCCTTTGGGTGGGGCCCCTTGTTCCTTGAGCTTTTCCCATTTTCCCCTTATTTTTTTACCACTGCTGTTCGCTCAGTGGTATTTGGTTTGAACTGTCTGCAGAGATCAGTGGGTCAGGGAAGCAGCTGGTGCGGAGTGAGCACCCCACAGCGAGGATGCCCTGGTCCCTCTCCTGAGCGACCCACGGCCAGACTGGGGGTGGTCTCCCAGCAACTTTGAGCCCAGACCTGTCAGGGTTACGAGGACTTCGCCCCATAGGCAGTCCTCCAGGACAGGCAGGCTTCTGGGTCAAGGGAACTGGCGCGAGGATCCGTTCGCCGTCCAGTGCTACTGGGGCCCTGCAGAAGCAAACGGCTCCAACCGCGCTCATGGCTCCGGGTTACGGAACAAGAGACTGAAAGTGGAACTGAGAGGGGAGCGCGCAGCCCGTCGTTCAGTGCACAGAGAGACAGGCAGACAGCAAGGGAGGCAGAGCGGAAAAACCAGAGACAAACAGAGAATTAACCACAGGGTCTACGCTGGAGTTTTCTCACCTGGGTGAGCTACAGGAGCAGAGCTGGGAGAAGGGGGAGCCCAGGGCTGGGCTAGCAGGGGGCCGTGGGTCGGGAGTGAGGGGCCCTGGCAGAACTGGGTGGGGGAAGCCCAGGGCTGGGCTAGCAGGGGCCTGTGGATCGGAGATCAGGGGCACTGACAGGGTTTGCTCTGGCCAGTTGCTCTTTGTCCAGGAGCCCCAGGGGCCCTGTGAGCTTGGTGGGGGGGGGGGATTCAGAATGCCCAAGGCAGCCCCCCTTTAATAAGAACAGGAGTGACGGCAGCTGCCATTTTCGAGGCTCCTTGGCCAGCTCTGACAGTCTCACCCCACGGCTGAACCCACGTCCTGGCTGGTGGGGTGTTTCTAGCAGACTGAGCTGGGGGCGGGGGTGGCTGTGTCATTCCCTGCACTCCCAGGGCCCCCAGGAATCCCAAAACCCCACGGGCAGAGAGACACTTGCCAGCCCTGCCCCAAAATGGGAATGGCCAGCTCACAGCAGTGACTGGAATCTTACCCAGCCGAGTGGTGAAAACTAACAATAGAGCCCGGGAGTCCTGGCTCCCAGCCCCTCTGCGGTAGCATCTTAGCCCCGGTGTTCCCATGTGCTAGCTACTAACCCAGTGGATCTCCCCAGGCCTGTGGGGTCAGAGGGATGGAGCAACTCCGGGAGGACGTCACCTGCTCCATCTGCTTGAACGTGTTCAGCGACCCCGTCTCCATTGAGTGCGGCCACAACTTCTGCCGGGGCTGCCTCGCGGCTCATTGGAGCCAGGTCTCAGCCCAGGGGCACCGCTGCCCGGAGTGCCGGGCTTCCTGCTCCAGGAATAGGATGATCCCAGACACACGTGTCAGAAACCTGGTGGAGAAAATCACCGAGCACCTGCAGGAAGAGCCGGAGCCGGTGAGACCAGATGGGTCAGATAAGGGGAAAAGGAGCTTTCTCTTGTAGGGGATGCTGGGTCCAATCCAGCCCCAGAGCAGGGACTGCCTGGCTCAGGGGAGCGGGGAATGGGACATGGGGACTTTCCCCTTTAGAGGGTACCAGCCCTGATCTGGCCCCAGAGTGGGGACTGGCTGGCTCAGGGGGTGGGGAATGGGACACACAGACTCAGACTGGTAGGCCAGAAGGGACCATCATAATCATCTATTCTGACCTCCTGCACATTGCAGGGCACAGAACCTCACTCACCCTCTCCTGTAATAGACCCAGAACCTCTGGCTAGTCACTGACGTCCTCCAGTCATGGTTTAAGGACTTCAAGTTACAGAGAATCCACATTTACACTAGTTCAAACCTGCAAATGACACGTGCCCCATGCTGCAGAGGAAGGCGAAAAACCCCCAGGTCTCTGCCAGTCTGACCTGGGGGAAAATTCCTTCCCAACCCCAAATATGACAATCAATTAGACCCTCAGCATGTGGGCAAGACCCACCAGCCAGACACCTGGGTGTCTCTAGTAACACAGAGCCCTTCCCATCTAGTGTCCCATCACCGCCCTTTGCGGGATATTTCCTACTAGCACTCGCATTTGGGCTACATGCCATCGTAGGCAGTCTCATCAGACCATCCCCTCCATAAACTTATCAAGCTCAGTCGAGAAGCCTCCAGAGCTGGGCAGCTGGAGAGCGGCGGCTGCTGGCCAGGATCCCAGCTCTGGAGGTAGTGCAGAATTAAGGGTGGCAATACTGTGACCCACCTAAAATAACTTTGCGACCCACCCCCCCCCCACACACACAGAACTCCCTGTTGGGTCAGGACTCCCAATTTGGGAAATGCTGTTTTCCTCGTGAAATCTGTATAGTTTAGGGTAAAAGCACACAAAAGAAGAGATTTTCAAGGTGGAGACCAGATTTCACCATCTGGGAGGCATTTTTCATGGCTGTGAATTTGGTAGGACCCTAGATATTACCCCTGACTTTTGTAGATTAATTAGAAATCCTTGCTATTGGGCTTGCAATTTCATGTGCTGATTTCTTTAATATTCGAGGATGGAGATGATCCAGGCCCCCCAGTTTGCACCCATTAACTTGTTTGACTCTGGTTTCCGTTTCAGCCAATTCAGTGACAATTTCTACTCCCGTGTTCTTGTTCTCATTAGCTGTCTGGCCACAAGCTTCTCCTTATGCTTCTTAAAAACTGAGGCCATGCCTATATCTTTAGGTGTTGGCCCATGCAGCCTGAATCTTTTACCTCCACCCCATCCTCAGCGCTTAGCGGTCCCACTTCTTCTTTACTTGTTTTCTTTTTCTTTATGAGGCTAAAGAACTTTTTCCTGTTGGTTTTAATTTTTTTGCAAGTTCAAATTCTGCTTGGCCTTTGGCAGTTCTCATTTTATCCCTGCATGGATTCCTCCCAGTTTCCATTCCTCAGAGGCTTTCTGCTTTCTCTTAATCACCTCTTTGAAATCCTGGTTCACCCAGTTTGCTCAGCAACCCTTCCCTATGGGCTTTTTCCTGGATGCAGACTCCAGAGAATTCCTGCATCTTTGACAAGCCTCCTCCACATCCAGATCCTTCAGCTTTGCAGGCCAGGTCACTTCCCTGCCTAATTCCCTTAATTTTTTGAAATCCAGGATCCCCAGCTGTCGACCTGTTTTGGTTTATCCTTCCATTTAGTTAAATGGAATTAGCTCATGGCTACTTGAACCAAGGCTGTCCTCTACAGCCAGTTTTTTAGTGCGGTCCTCGCTACTTACCAATACCAAATCTAAACTGGCATCACCTCTTGTTGCTTTGGTCACTGATGAAAAAATCTCTCAGCTATCTCACCTCCAGGATTATCTGGGCCCTGCCATGATGAGCAGCACTTCTCCAATCTCTGTCACGAAAATTAAAGTCTCCCATGATCACACAATTCCCAGTGGTATTTATTTCATTCAAGCTATGAAAGGGGTCTCTATCCATATCCAAACCGGATCCTGGGGGTCTGTAGCAGACCCAAGACACTCTCCCAAGGGAGCCCCTGGTACCTTTCTTCCCCACAGTGATCTTGACCCAAAAAGATTCTGTTTCACCCATTTCATCCCTTCTCATTTCTTTCCACTCCACCTCTTCATTAACACACAACGCTACTCCGCAACCTCTGCCTTTTGTCTTTCTTCCCTGTACCCCGGTCATGGCTGCTACTGCCCCTGGTTTCTGGTTTCCTGTCCCACACCCGTAGTTTTAGTTCCTTCCCTTTTGTCACCCGGGCTCATCGCGTTGCTGGGCAGACACCTCACTGCTTCCACTTGGCTTTGCTGCCGGTATCGGCCACCTGACTCTCAGCGTTGGTGCTCTTGGCACTATCGTTCCTCTTCTCATCTCTTCTCCTGCCCTCTGTCGTTCCTTTCTCCGTTGCTCCTACCCTCTCCTCCTGCCTCCTGCTCAGTGTGAGAATCATTCCTGGAGGTTCCATGAGCATCTCCCAGAGTTCCTAGTTTAAAGCCCTTTTCATCAGCTGTGCCAACCTCCACCCCGGAAGTCTATCCCGCACCCTGTTCAGGTGGCGTCCGTCCCATGAGACCAGTCCTCTGTCCGTGAACGCCTCCCCGTGGCCGAACATCCCCACGCCCACCTTAGCCCCACTGCCTGAGCCACCTGTTGATCATCAGCGTCTTGTCTCACCTTCGCTCTCCTCCAGGGACAGGTAGAATCCCACTGAAGATCCCCTCCAGGGAGTGCTGCCCCTGATCCAGCCCCAGGGCAGGGGACTGGCTGGCTCAGGGGGTAGAATGGGGCACAGGGCTCTGATCCAGCAGGGAGCAGGGGACTGGCTGGCTCAGGGGTGGGGTCCCAGCTCTGACCCTGCTCTCTCCCTGCAGCAGGGGCCGGGGGCTCAGCCGGAGCCGGGCCACCCAGTGCAGCTGGTGCGTCTGGACGAGGAAGAGAACCTGATCCTGGATGAGGAGGCCCTGAGCCGCTGCCTGGAGCAGGGTGGGGCGAGGGACGCCCCCGTCTGCGTGGTGTCCATCGTCGGGGTGAAGCGCCGGGGCAAATCCTTCCTGCTGAACTACCTGCTGCGCCGGCTCCAGAGCCCAGTGAGTGTGAACGGGACCAGGAGCAAGCTGGGGTGTGAGCAGCCCCATCCTGCCCCCTGCTGGAGGGCTCAGAGTTGCACACGTGTGTGTGAGTACACACACCTCATTGCATGTCTGTCAGCCTGTCTGCCTGGAACTCTGTCTGGTAATATTGTCTGTCTGTCTGTCTATCTGTCTGAACCCGAGCATGTCTGTCTTTCTGTCTGTGTGTCTGTCTGGAATGCAGCGTGTCTGTGTGTCTCTGACTGTTTATCTCTCAGAATCTGAGCACGCCCATCGCCCTGTGTTCCTCCCCGCCCCACCCTTGTACAATTAACCCCCAGCCCCTTCCCAGGGCTTACAGTCTGGAGTGTGCAGGGACCAGTCACTCTTCTCCCCCACCCTGCACTGACCCCTCTCCCTGCATGTTCCTTTCTGGCAGGACGCGAGGGACGGGTCATGGATGGGCCGGGAGGATGAGCCCCTGGAGGGGTTCGAGTGGCGCGCCGACATGCAGCAAGTCACCAAGGGGGTGTGGGCATGGAGTCAGCCCATCTGGGTCCCCACCCAGGGTGGGAAGGTGAGTGGGGGCATTGGGGGTGCATAGGAAAGGGGGAAGGAGACATGGGGTTGCTAGGAGAAGGGAAAGGGGGAAAGGGCTGGGAAGAAAGGGAATGGGGTAATAGGGAAGGATGGAGACATGGGGAAGGAGGCCCCAGGGGAACCTAATGGAGACATAACGGGGGGGAATGGAGAGGAGCGAGAGGAGGGAGCTAACACTGGGGTGGATAGAAATGAGATGCCAGGGGCCATGGGGGCAGAGCAGGGGGCAGGCTCTGGGGGCGGAGGGGCCGTGGGTAGCTGAACAACGCCGGGAGCTGACCTGAGGCTCTCCCTCTTGGCCCCCAGGTGGCCGTGCTGCTGGTGGACACCGAGGGCTCCATGGGCATTGAAAGGAAGAAGGAGAACAGCATCAAACTCTCCGCCTTTTCCATGCTGCTCAGCTCCTACCAGGTTGGGGGTCCCCGGGGGGGCGCTGTGCTGCAGAGCACTGTTTGGGGGCTCCGCAGGGGACATTTCCCCCAGCAGTCCGGGCTGGCCCCAATGTCTCACTGGGGCACTAGGGGGCGCTGTGCTGCAGGGAGCGGGGCAGGGGCTCAGTAGGGGGCGCTCTCCCCTGGCAGGCCGCGCCGGCCCCGATGCCCCCTGCGGCACTAGGGGGCGCTGTGCTCGGGGCGGGTGACGTGGCTGGGAAGGGGCCTGGGGCGGCCGGCCCTGCTCATTGCTGTAGCTCTGTCTGTCTCCTGGCTATTTGCAGATACTGAATATTTCGAATGAGGTGAACGACGCGGATCTTGAATACCTGGAGGTGAGGCCGGGCAGCGCGACGCAGAATGTGGCCAGGCCAGGTTCTCCCATTAGCCCCACAGGGTTATTATCCCTCCCCATAGCTCCTGTGGGGAAACTGAGGCCCAGATAAAGAAACCGACTCTCCCACGGTCACGTGGGCTTCTGGATTGAGCACTGTCACCACACAGCCCAGCCCGGGTCTCTGCTCCCAGGTGTCTGGTGTGGGCCACTGGGTCAAAGTTAGGACCCCTCCCTCCCCTCCAGCCCAGCTCCGCCATCGGTGGGAAGTCTACTGGGCCCAAGGCCTTGGGCGGTTGCTCTGCCCCCTGATCTGCTCTGCTCTTACCCAACCCCAGCCCCACCGGGTCGAGCCCCTGGCCCTCGTGCCCTTAGTGATATCTCTGCCATCTGCGACATACTGCGTGTCCTGCCCCTGCACCGCACCGCAGCGGGGATTCTCTGTGCGGGGGAGGGGTTGGCTCTGGGAGGGCTTTTATCTGTCCACACGGCCCTGGGTCCAGTGGGGGGCAGAAACCTGGTTAACGTGGAGCTAGATCAGTCCAGGGAGAGCTCGAGTAATCGCCACGTGGCCGAGATTGTTGGAGGCGCGAGCAGAGCCGTGGTGTCACCCCCGGGGCTGGGCAAACAGTGCTGGTGGCGTCTGTCAGCCGGAGGCAATGGTGGTTTTGTGGATTGGAGGGTACATCTCAGGAACCCCTCAGGGAAAAGACCTCACATTGGGCTCACTGACCCACCCTCCACCTCCACGGGGCGCCCTGGAGTGAAGGAGGGAACCCTGGAACAAGACTGGCTCCTCTGTGGGGCACAGGATCCCACAGCCGCCCCCACCACCCTCTTGGCCGGGTGCCTCCCACTTCTCTTTCCACCCCATGGAAAATATCTCCATCTCTCTCCAGCTTCGTTTTGCACTCGCTGGGCCTCGCTCTCTGCGATGGGTGGAGGGAGCGGCTCAGATGGGGATGGGGGGCAGTGATCAGGCCCCTTTCTGTTCACCTGCAGGATGACCCCGCAGTGTAAATGCCTCCCATGCCCCAGACTCGTCCCCCACCCCTGTTCTCTTTGCTCTACAGATGTTTGTGCATGTGGCCGAAGAGGTGGGAAAAGCGTACGGACTGGAGCCCATTCAGGTGAGACGGCTTCGGCCATCATCACCCGCCCTGCCCCATGTATCCCCACACGGCACCCCTCCCCAGAGACCCTCACTCCCCTCCTGTCTCTCCTGCAGCACCTAGACCTTCTGGTGCGGGATTGGAGCAGCTCCCCGGTCCTTGGAGCCGAGGGTGGGGAGCAGCATCTGAGATACATCCAAGAGGTGACTGTGGGAATCAGAGAATGGAGGAATGGGACATGGGGCCTTTCCCCTCGAAGGGATGATGGCTCCAGTGTTTCCAACATGGGGGAGGTGGGACCGCAGGGAGGTTGTATGAAGGGTGGGGGGGGTCACAAGTGCAGGGCTGGAGTTAGGGTGTGGCAAGCAGAATATTTGTCCAGGGCCCTGCACCATAGGGGACCCTGCAAAGCTAAATTACATGCTTCAGCCCTGGATGTCCGGGGCTCAGGCATTGGCTTCAGCCCAGTCACCATTTTTTTCAAGTACAGGGGTCCAAATTGTCTTTTAAGGCCAAAGGGGGTCACCAGCACAACAAGGCCGAGAAACACTGGGCATGAATTTAGCCGCTGACGTCTCCAAAGAATCCATCCGCACGGAGCAACCTCCAGCCGGGGGCTGCAGATGCAAAGCTGGACTTTCCCTGCAATTGCTGCTCCAGGCCGGGCACCTGTCGCTGTCCTACACTCAATGAGCCCAGGCAGCGTGGAGGAGGAAGCAGCTTGAATGCAAAGGGGAGGGGAGAAGAGCCAGGCCGGGGGAGTGAAAGGAGCGGGGTGGGACAAGGAGTCTGCAGAGACTGGGACCTGGGGTGGGGAGACAGGGGCTTGGAGCGGGGGAGACTGGGACTGAAGGACACTCCTTTTGCTTCCTGCCGTCCCCTGTCTTGTTCACTGCCCCCTTCCAATGTCTACCACAAACGAGGCCGGGCCCCTCCAGACCCTCTCTGACCGCCTGGCAGGTCTGGCTGATGTTAACAAAGGTATTTGTGTGTCAATGTAACCATTGCCCCTGGCTCTGGCAGATGCTGAAGGCGAGGTCCCCTTGCAAACACCCCAAGGCCCTGGAAGCGCTGAAGAGAAGCAGCAGCCGCTGTTACCTGATGCCCTCCCCTGGCAAGCGGATCACGATGGGGAGCGAGGGAAGGCTGAGAGGTAACGGACCCAGGACAGCAGCTCTAAGTCGCCTGCCTTGTGCAGAGCAATGTGACTGGGGCGCTGATCATGCCCGAGCGCAGCATGTAGAGAGTAGGGGGGATCAGACAGGCCCTGTATTCCCCCATCATCATCCGTCTCTCTCCCCTTTGCAGACATGGATGAGGATTTCCGGGAGAGCCTGAGGGACTACGTCACCGCCCTGGTGAGCTCGGCTGGTCAACACGTCCGGATGGACCAGCATGGGGAGATGCTCAACGGGACACAGCTTGCTGCCAAGATAAAGGTGGGGACGGGCCAGCTGTGCTGGAGGGAGCAGGAAGGGGATGTTCTCCCCTTGCAGTCAGTGATGACCCCAATACCCCCAATTCCCCAGCTGCCCCACCCCAGAGGTGGCTGCATCTCAGCGCCAGGCGAGCCATCCCCATGTTCCCAGCCTTTCTAAGCCCTGTGGAGTCTGTGATGTGATGATTTCTTTTGGTTCCTTTGCAGAATTTATCTGATGTGATGAAGAACCATCGCTCTGGCTTCTCCTCTCCCTGTCAGGTACCGTCTCTGTCTCTGAGCTGATCATGGGGTGTGTCCCCTCACCCCTCCATGTCAAGGTTGGGGCAATGTTGGGATCTGGGTCCATGCTGCGGGAGGTGACTGGGAAAGAGTCTGGGTGAAATCTTATTTTCTTGGACTCCAGGGTAGAAGAATTTCACTAGCCTGGAGAGCTGCTGGTGCTAGATTGTTCATCCCGCCTACAGACACGTCTCCACTCCTTGAGACCCATAGCACCAAATCCTGTTTTTCCCCAGGCAACTCCTGTTGGCGTTTCAATGAGAGGAGTTTTTAAGAGCAGGTGTGAGAATAGGGGTGTTTTTCCTACATAAAACTTGGAGTGTCCCAGCACAGCCCTCACCGAGCCCTCCACGTCCGAGTCACGCCGCCTTCCCCCGCAGCCGGGCAGGACCCAGGGTAGACAGACCCTTTGACATCGTCTGTCAAGTTCTCTTGGGCGTCAGCCTCAGATGGGCTGCGATAGGAGCTACGTGAGGAGAATTGGATGCGGGAGCTTCTCTGCCTGGGGGGAATAGACCGGCCCAGCTAGAACAGAATAACTACTCCACAATAGCCAGTCCACAACAGCTGCACAGCAGAGACTGTTCCAGAGTCCAGAAGAAGATTTAACCCAGCCCCCACCCCCAAAGGAGAGCTGAGATTCACCTGGCTCCTGGAAATCAATAAAAAAACCCGAAATCCCACCAGACCTACGAGAGTCGCTGTCACTGATGCTCTCTCGGGCATGAGCCTCAGGCCGAGCCCGGCTGGGACAGGGGTTTCCAAAGTCCTCGGCTCCAGGAAAGTGCCACAAGGGCAAAGTGCAGGTCGGAGCAAGGAAGGGAGCCGAGGCTGGGCTGCTGCGGGGATCGAATTGAAAAGTGGTGGCACCAGCAGCCCCAAGCAGCTTCCACACGGGCTGGCGATCTCGCTTTGTTCCATGAGGTTGCTGCGGTGGAAGGGGCAGCCCCTAGGTGGAGTCGGGGCCCCATAAACTGCGGCTCACCCCAGCCTTGTCCTCCCGGCACAGATGGCCATCACCTTCCACAACCAGAGAGTCCTGGACAGGGCCCGCGCAGACCACGCTGTGTTTCTGAAGGAGAAGGTGAGTCCAGGGGTGTCGCTGTGCCCCCAGCCAGGGGAACCCCAGGGAAACATCCCAGCCAACCCCGTGGGTTACGGGCTTTGTGGCAGGAGAGGAGACTTCATATCCGCTTTCAGGGGGCTGCGGAGATGGGAGACTGCAACCCCGGCACAGCAGTGGCCTGGATCTTGGTCAGGAGGGTGGAGGAAGTAGCTGTGCTGTAGCCAGAGGGTCTATTGGTGAGATGGGGTCGCGCACCCGCCCCTTCTAGCCCCTTGCACCCCACTATTCTCCGCTCCTCTCCGGCTCAACGCAGGACGGCCTGTCCCGGCGCATGGTCGACTGTCTGAAGGTGGATCTGAGCACAATGGCGGAGCAGTTGGTGGAGAAGCGCAGGTCACTGCTGGAGAGGTGCCGGGAGGAGCTGCAGGAGCCGGAGGAGACCCTGCTGACGGAGCTAGAAAAGGAGCTGACTCGGGAGGCCAAGACCTTCCTGGAGACCTACCGAAGGTGCTATCAGCATCACACCACCAACCAGAGTGTCCTGGACAGGGCCCGCGCAGACCACGCTGTGTTTCTGAAGGAGAAGGTGAGTCCAGGGGTGTCGCTGTGCCCCCAGCCAGGGGAACCCCAGGGAAACATCCCAGCCAACCCCGTGGGTTACGGGCTTTGTGGCAGGAGAGGAGACCTCATATCCGCTTTCAGGGGGCTGCGGAGATGGGAGACTGCAACCCCGGCACAGCAGTGGCCTGGATCTCGGTCAGGAGGGTGGAGGAAGTTGCTGTGCTGTAGCCAGAGGGTCTATTGGTGAGATGGGGTCACACACCCGCCCCTTCTAGCCCCTTTCACCCCACTATTGTCCCCTCCTCTCTGGCCCAACGCAGGACGGCCTGTCCCGGCGCATGGTCGACTGTCTGACGGTGGATCCAAGCGCAATGGCGGAGCAGTTCATGGAGCAGCGCAGGTCACTGCTGAAGCGGTGCCGGGAGGAGCTGCAGGAGCCGGAGGAGACGCTGCTGACGGAGCTAGAGGAGGAGCTGACTCGGGAGGACAAGACCTTCCTGGAGACCTACCGAAGGCGCTATCTGTGTCACACCACCAACCAGAGAGCCCTGGTCAGGGCCTGCGCAGACCACGCTGAGTTTCTGAAGGAGAAGGTGAGTCCAGGGGTGTCGCTGTGCCCCCAGCCAGGGGAACCCCAGGGAACATCCCAGCCAACCCCGTGGGTTACGGGCTTTGTGGCAGGAGAGGAGACCTCATATCCGCTTTCAGGGGGCTGCGGAGATGGGAGACTGCAACCCCGGCACAGCAGTGGCCTGGATCTCGGTCAGGAGGGTGGAGGAAGTTGCTGTGCTGTAACCAGAGGGTCTATTGGTGAGACGGGGTCACACACCCGCCCCTTCTAGCCCCTTGCATCCCACTATTCTCCCCTCCTCTCCGGCTCAACGCAGGACGGCCTGTCCCGGCGCATGGACGACTGTCTGACGGTGGATCCGAGCGCAATGGCGGAGCAGTTGGTGGAGAAGCGCAGGTCACTGCTGGAGCGGTGCCGGGAGGAGCTGCAGGAGCCGGAGGAGATGCTGCTGATGGCGTTAAAGCGCAGCTGACTCGGGAGGCCGAGACCTTCCTGGAGACCTACCGAAAGCGCTATCTGTGTCACACCACCAACCAGAGAGCCCTGGCCAGGGCCCGCGCAGACCACGCTGAGTTTCTGAAGGAGAAGGTGAATCTGGGGCGGGAGGGCTGTGCCTCCCACCAGGGGAACCTCAGGGAACCATCCTGGGCAGCCCCCCGGGCTCTGGGCTTTGGGGATGAAGTGGGAGTTCACATTTCCAGCTCCCAGGGTGGCTGAAGAGATGAGAGACTCCAATCCCAAACCCTGCGGGGGGGGGGGGAACTCAGTTTTGGGGGCTCTGAGCAGCACCTGGCATGATGGCAGCCCCGATCTCAGTCCAGAGAACTTTGCCTTACCCGGCATAATGGGGGCCCAGTCTCAGTCATGGGGTGAGGGGTGTGCAGCACCTCGCACACCTGGGGCCCCGATCTCACTTGGGGGATTGGTCTCTGTAGCAGCTGGCATGACGGGGGGTCCAATTTGAGTTGTGGGATCCTGACACGATGGCATCCTTGATCTCAGTTGGAGGGTGTTTGTACAACAAGGGCCCCCATCTTGGTCAGGGTCTGTCACGGAGTCCCCGGGCGATGCTCGGGAACTGCTCACTACGCAGCCAGGCAGGATTCTGGGGAAGTCTCCTTTCTGGGACCAGACTGTCTTCAGGACACACAGCTCACACAGCTTCCACCTTCCTGGGTCTGACCTCGGAGCATTCAGCCTCCTCTGCCCCTCCGGGCGCTTCCCACAGAGAGTCCGCCCAGGCGGGGTCCTGGGGAAGCCAGAGGGTCCTGCACCCCGACTCCACAGTCAGACGGGACTCTCAGGCAGCCAGTAAAACAGAAGGTTTATTAGACGACAGGAACATGGTCTAAAACAGAGCTTGTAGGTGCAGAGAACAGGACCCCTCAGCTGGGTCCAATTTGGGGGCAGTGAGCCAGACAACCACATCTGCACTTCACTCCATGTCCCAGCCAGTCCCAAACTCAAACTCCCTCCTCTGGGCTTTGCCCCGTTCCCAGGCCAGAAGGGCACCTGATTCCTTTGTTCTCCAACCCTTTAGCGCTCACCTTGCAGGGGGGAAAGGCCAGGCCATCAGTGGCCAGGAAACTGGGTGTCGGCCATTCTCTCTGTCCAGACCCCTGCACACACCTGCCCTCTAGGGCTCTGCACTGATCACGCACCCTTATCCCACCACCTAGATACTTAAGAACGGCATAGGGGAAACTGAGGAACGGCATAGGGGAAACTGAGGAACTCCCACTTCATCCCCTAGATACTTAAGAACGGCATAGTGGGAAATGGGGGGGAACTTAATGTTCCCCACACTATTCAGAGGAAACATTAAGAACAGTCCCACTTCTTCACAGGGTCTATGCAGCACTTGCCACATCTAATACTCTTGGCTGTCTCCTCTCCCTGCTACTGCAGGACACCGATTCCAGGAACCCACTTAAATGCCTGAAGGTGACGCCGGAGAAGATGGCCAAGCAGTTCGCAGAGCGGCGTGGGGACTTGCTGTGGCAGTGCCAGACAGACATGCTGCCGAAGAAAGAGGCCCTGGGGACGGAGCTGGAGAAGGAGCTGAGGCAGAAGAAAGAGGCCCTGGAGACGGAGATGGAGAAGGAGCTGAGGCAGAAGAAAGAGGCCCTGGGAGGAGCTGAGAAGGAGCTGGGAGAGGAGGGGCTGATGTTGGAGGCCGAGAGCTTCCTGGAGACCTACAGGAAGCGCTTCAAGAAATTTGCCATTGCAGCGGGCGTTGGGGTGGGGGGGCTGGTCCTGGCACCGGTGGGTGGAGGTGCTGCGGCAGGAATTGCCGCTGCTGCCATTGCTGCTGAAGCTGCGGCACTCGGCATGGGGGGCGGCCATTGGTGCTGGGGGGGGGTGCCGTGGCTGGGGGGTGCATGGGTGGGGGCGTGGGATGGGGAGTTGGTAAGAAGATGGCCCAGAAGGATAAGAACCAGGCCGAGGGCACCGCTGCTGCCATTGCTGCTGAAGCTGCGGTGCTCGGCATCGCTGGGGCGGTGGGCATTGGTGCTGGGGCGGGTGCTGTGGCTGGGGGGTGCGTGGGTGGGGGCGTGGGATGGGGAGTTGGTAAGAAGATGGCCCAGAAGGATAAGAACCAGGCCGAGGGCACTGCCAGCGAAGGGGAGGAGGAGGACGGCACTGAGGAGCTGTCTGATACGGCCCGCCTGATCTGAACAGCGCGCCCCCCCGACCCAATCTGGGGGTGATGAATGCGGTGACAGGGCTATAGCGTGGCCCAGACATGTCAACCACAATCCACTCCACAGCGGGGCAGCCATCGCCCACAGATTCTAAGAGGGGACATTGGTCCAACCCGCTCCTGAAAACCTCCAATGACTGTGTGACACCCAGGCCCATCGGTACCTGCTGGCAGCGGGTTCAGTGCCCTGTGTCAGCAACTCCTAACAGGCCGGACAAACTCGCTGCACCTAACACACCGCTGTCATGGTATTTAGCCACAAATAGTGTCTTGTAATGCTTCAAATGCATCCCAGGAGCACACGGTATTGATATCTGTGTGAAATGTAGGCCCTGTCATGAGGTGAGGAGCTACGCGCATATGTGCATATGGAAAACACATTTTAAAGTCTGAATAAAGGCAGGGTCAGCAGACAAGTTTCTGCCAGATGTAGGACGTACATTTGTCAGTCCACCTCAGCTGATGTCAATTAAACTTTGTAATCCAGCCTCATGCATGCCCCATGGACATAGGAAGGTAACACAAAGCTATGGGGTCATCATGCTGGAGAATAAACCACGGCGGGAGGGGAACGTGCTCCTGACTTTCAGGCCAAACAAACTTTCAGCGGGTAGAAGGAGAAGGTAAACAGATGCCCTTGTATCCTTCACCGCTGAAGCAAAGGGGCAGCGATTTGGCAAGAGGGGGCCCAGCTGTGTTGGTCCGAGATGCAAGGAGCTTGGTTTAGGTGAGGTAACCTGCTTTAGCCTGTTCCATTTGGACTCAAGGAAGCACGTTACAATTTTGCTGTATGTGCCACCCTTCTGCCAGCGGCATCGGCAGCTACCAGGGCCAGGTCGAGGTCGAGCCCTTCCTCTCTCTGCCCCCAGTCATCTAGGAACCTGTAACCACGCCGGGGACCTTTGCCAGGCAAGTCTCTACCCACTCACCATTGCAGAAGTTTGAAGAAATGAACTTTGCTGGGGGCAGCGAGGGGAAGGGAAGGAAAACCTTTGGGAAGCTCATGGGGTAAATCACTTGGTTGCCACTCCTTACCACCATCAAACAAATGGCATGTTTAATGGAACTTTGGGGGCCATGATACGTAAATTCGTAAATGAGCACTCCAATGATTGGGACCTAGTGTTGCAGCAGTTGCTCTTTGCCTACAGAGCTGTACCACATCCCAGTTTAGGTTTTTCACATTTTGAACTTGTATATGGCCGTGAGGTTAAGGGGCCATTACAGTTGGTGAAGCAGCAATGGGAGGGATTTACACCTTCTCCAGGAACTAACATTCTGGACTTTGTAACCAACCTACAAAACACCCTTCGAACCTCTTTAGCCCTTGCTAAAGAAAACTTACAGGATGCTCAAAAAGAGCAAAAAGCTTGGTATGATAAACATGCCAGAGAGCGTTGCTTCAAAGTAGGAGACGAGGTCATGGTCTTAAAGGCACTCCTAGGCCCACAGAATAAAAGCGTTGTGGGAAGGGCCATTCACGGTCCAGGAGCACCTGGGAGCTGTTAATTATCTCATAGCATTCCCCACCTCCAACCGAAAGCCTAAGGTGTACCATATTAATTCTCTAAAGCCCTTTTATTCCAGAGAATTAAAGGTTTGTCAGTTTGTCAGAGCCCAGGGAGGAGAGGATGCTGAGTGGCCTGAAGGTGTCTACTACGAAGGGAAAAGTGCTGGTGGCGTGGAAGAGGTGAACCTCTCCATGACCCTTGGGCGTATGCAGCGACAGCAGATCCAGGAGCTGTGCACTAGCTACGCGCCAACGTTCTCAGCCACCCCAGGACTGACTGAACGGGCATACCACTCCATTGACACAGGTAATGCTCACCCAATTAAAGTCCAACCTTACCGGGTGTCTCCTCAAGCAAAACTGCTATAGAACGGGAGATCCAGGATATGTTACAGATGGGTGTAATCCGCCCCTCTGGAAGTGCATGGGCATCTCCAGTGGTTCTAGTTCCCAAACCAGATGGGGAGATACGTTTTTGCGTGGACTACCGTAAGCTAAATGCTGTAACTCGCCCAGACAACTATCCAATGCCCCGCACAGATGAGCTATTAGAGAAACTGGGACATGCCCAGTTCATCTCTACCTTGGACTTAAACAAGGGGTACTGGCAGGTACCGCTAGATGAATCCGCCAAGGAAAGGTCAGCCTTCACCACACATCTCGGGCTGTATGAATTTAATGTCCTCCCTTTCGGGCTGCAAAATGCACCCGCCACCTTCCAAAGACTTGTAGGTGGTCTCCTAGTGGGTTTAGGAGAATATGCAGTGGCCTACCTTGACGATGTGGCCATATTTTTGGATTCCTGGGCAGAACACCTGGAACATCTACAAAAAGTCCTTGAGCGCATAAGGGAGGCAGGACTAAGTGTTAAAGCTAAGAAGTGTCAAATAGGCCTAAACAGAGTGACTTCCCTTGGACACCAGGTGGCTCAAGGAACTATCAGCCCCCTACAGGCCAAAGTGGATGCTATCCAAAAGTGGCCTGTCCCAAAGTCAAAGAAACAGGTTCAATCCTTCTTAGGCTTGGTCGGTTACTACAGACGATTTGTACCGCAATACAGCCAAATCGCCACCCCACTGACAGACCTAACCAAAAAGAAACAGCCAAATGCCGTTCAATGGACTGAAGAGTGTCAGAAGGCCTTTAACAAGCTTAAAGCGACACTCATGTCTGACCCTGTACTAAGGGCCCCAGACTTTGACAAACCGTTCCTAGTAACCACAGATGCCTCTGAGCGTGGTGTGGGGGCAGTTTTAATGCAGAAAGGACCTGATCAAGAATTCCACCCGGTAGTGTTTCTCAGCAAAAAACTGTCTGAGAGGGAAAGCAACTGGTCAGTCAGTGAAAAAGAATGTTACGCCATTGTCTATGCCATGGAAAAGCTACGCCCATATGTTTGGGGACGGCGTTTCCACCTGCAAACCGACCATGCTACACTACAGTGGCTTCATACCACCATGGGAAATAACAAAAAACTTATTCGGTGGAGTTTAGCTCTCCAAGATTTTGATTTCGACATCCAACACATCTCAGGAGCTTCTAACAAAGTGGCTGATGCACTCTCCCGTGAAAGTTTCCCAGAATCAACTGGTTAAAATCGTCCTTGAGATGTGGAAAATATTGTTAGTCTTTATGTACTTGGTAGTATATTTAGAGGTGCACGTGTCTTATTAACTCTGTTTTTTTCCTAGAGCTCCAGGAAGATATCCCAGCCAGCGTTTCACCCTAGCTGAGATTTGTGGGGCGTGTCATAAATATAAAGGGAAGGGTAAATCCCTTTAAAATCCCTCCTGGCCAGAGGAAAAATCCTCTTACCTCTAAAGGGTTAAGAAGGTAAAGGTAACCTCGCTGGCACCTGACCAAAATGACCAATGAGGAGACAAGATACTTTCAAAAGCCGGGAGGAGGGAAAAAAACAAAGGATCTGTGTCTGTCTGTATGCTGCTTTTGCGGGGACAGAAAAGGAATGGAGTCTTAGAACTTTTAGTAAGTAATCTAGCTCGGTATGTGTTAGATTATGATTTCTTTAAATGGCTGAGAAAAGAACTGTGCTGAATACAATGACTATTCCTGTCTGTGTGTCTTTTTTGTAACTTAAGAATTTGCCTAGAGGGATTCTCTATGTTTTGAATCTAATTCCCCTGTCAGGTATCTACCATCCTGATTTTACAGAGGTGATTCCTTTACTTGTATTAAAAGTCTTCTTGTAAGGAAACTGAATGCTTTTTCATTGTTCTAAGATCCAAGGGTTTGGGTCTGTGGTCACGTATGGAAATTGGTGAGGATTTTTACCAAACCTTCCCCAGGAAGTGGGGTGCAAGGGTTGGGAGGATTTTGGGGGGAAAGACATGTCCAAACTACGTTTCCCAGTAAACCCAGATAAAGTTTGGTGTTGGCAGTGGAAGTCCAAGGGCAAAGGGTAAAATCAGTTTGTACCTTGCAGAAGTTTTAACCTAAGCTGGTAAAAGTAAGCTTAGGAGGCTTTAATGCAGGTCCCCACATCTGTACCCTAGAGTTCAGAGTGGGGAAGGAACCTTGACAGCTGCAATCTCCCCTGCCTCGATTACAGTTCTGGGCTTCCCATCTAGGATGTATCTTTCTATTTCCTCAGGAACACCCTCTAAGAACTGAGCTATTTGCATTAGGAAGGGCAAATCATCTGGAGATTTAACACTTGCTCCTGATATCCAGGCATCCCAATGTTTCACAATGTGGTAGGTATGTCGGGTAAATGACACGTCTGGTTTCCACCTTAGAGCTCTGAACCATCGACGGGAATGCTCGGGTGTTAGCCCCATTCTGACTCTTGCCTTGGTTTTAAACAGTTCATACTTGTTCATGTATTCCTTAGGCATTTCATCCACCACCTCAGCGAAGGGTCCACTGAGCTGCGGCCTCAGCTCTACCATGTATTGGTCGGTAGAGATGCTGTACCCAAGGCAGGCCCTTTCAAAGTTTTCTAAGAAGGTCTCACCATCATCACTTACCTTGTAAGTGGGGAACTGTCTGGGATGGGAAGTGGTACCTGGAGAAGGATTGCTAGGGTTTGTTGGTATATTCTGCTGAGCCTTTGCCTTCTCCATCTCCAGTGCATGCTTCGTCTCTTTTTCCTTCTCCTCCTCCACATGCTTCCTCTCTTTTTCCTTCTCCTCCCCATTTCTTTGTCCCTTGCCTCCATAGCTCTCCGGTGGGCAGCCCCTTGGTTTTTTTCTTCCTCTTTCGCTGCCTCCATATCTTTGTCCTTTATCTCCATAGCTCTCCTGTGGGCAGATTCTTGGGCTTTTTCTGCCTCTTTCACTGCCTCCAGTCTGATTAACTTCAATTTGTGTTGTGTCTTGGTTTCTGCCATCTTTGCCTCTCTGTTTTTAACTAACTTTACACCCAAGAGATAGAAATAAAAGAAACAAACAAAAAAACCTTGGCTTGTAAAATTTTGCTGTGCTGTAATATGATACCTATATTCT